GGATTTATTTTTTTTATCCAGAGGTCAGCATTTTTCTTCTAGATTTAATCCAGTTAAATCAGGTTCACTCTTTCTTGGGTTTCTTGCTCTGTTCCCAGTTTTCCACTGCATAGCAGAGTTTCTCCAGAGGCCTCGGCATGTTGCCGGGAGCAGCTGCCTTAGCTGTAAACACCCGGATTGGCACTGGAAAAAACATCAACAGCAAGCAAGCTGCTTTGCCTTTCCACTGCCAGAGGCTCTGCACATGTAGAAACAGCACCATGAAAGGCATAACTTTAGATTTCCTCTTACGTAAATTAAAATTAATGAACTGCTTTCTTCGTTTGGGATCTCATTTTTCCCTCTCGGAATAATAGTACCATAGATTCTATTCTACCAAAATGGAGGATCACCACTAAAGAAGCAGACATATCCATAAACATGAAAGTTAGATTTCCTACATGCTCACGCGTTTTGCTGATCAAAACCATTTTTTTTTTTTTTTAACCTTAGTCATTTTGAAGGCTGGAGCCCATGTTAGTGAAAGCCTACTCACAGTTGATTAAGTACCACTTCCATTCAGGACTGCAATTCAGCACATCCTCATTGAGGGCTACTATGCGCAAGCTCTGCATGAAAAGCTGGGAGCCACCTAGAGGAGGATGTTGGCTCCTGCCCTAAGGAGCTCAGCTCAGTTCAGTAGGTGTTGTGTGCCTGCACTGATGCTTACTGCCCAACAAGGATTGACTTTACCATGTTGTGTTGTGGTATAAGTGCAAGAAGGGAAATTTTTTTAAACCTAGTGCCACAGGATTCAAAGACAGGAGGGTAGGATAGGTGGTTTAGAAAAAGTTTCTGGAAGCAGAGGCTGAACACAGTGGGGAAGACACAGACATTCACAAATGCTTAACTGAATGCCAGGCCTTGAATCAGGCTCATTCCAAATGTCATTCATCTTTTTTGAGACAGAGTCTTGCTCTGTCGCCCAGGCTGGAGTGCAGTGACGCGATTTTGGCTCACTGCAGCCTCCGCCTCCCAGGTTCAAGTGATTCTCATGCCTCAGCTTCCCAAGTAGCTAGGACCACAGGCACATGACACGATGCCCAGCTAATTTTTGTATTTTTAGTAGAGGTGAGGTTTCGCCATGTTGGCCAGGCCGGTCTTGAGTTCCTGACCTCAAGTGATCTGCCTGCCTCAACCTCCCAAAGTGCTGGGATTACAGGCATGGGCAACCGCACCCGCCTTGCCATTCTTCTCACTCTGCCTATCAGGCTGGAGTGCAGTAGTACAGTCATAGCTCACTGTAGTCTTGAACTCCTGGACTGAAGCGATCCTCCCACCTCAGCTTCCCCTGAGTAGCTGGTATTACAGGCACACGCCACCATACCTGGTTAATTTTTTATTATTTTTTTGTAGAGACAGGGTCTTTCTGTGTTGCCCAGGCTGGTCTCAGACTCCTCAAGTGATCTTCCTGTCTCAGCCTCCCAAAGCTCTGGGATTACAGGCATGAGCCACCACACCTGTCCTAATCTAATTTTCAAATATGATTTAAAGTACCTTGTTTGTAGTTAATTGTAAATTAAAGAGATTGGAAAATATGGTCAGCAAAATACATAATCATACTAAACATATTATTTTAAAACTTGGTTTTACCAGTTAGTACCATTTTGGACATTTTCTATGTCATTAAGTATGCTTTTTCACAAACTTTTAAAGATGATTTCTTTCCTTGTCTTTTCTTTCTTTTTTTTTTTTGGAGACAGGGTCTCACTGTGTTGCCCGGGCTAGAGTGCAGTGGCACAATCTTGCCTCACTGCAGCCTCAACCTTACAGGCTCAAGTGAACCTCCCACGTCAGCCTCCCAAGTAGCTGCGACTACAAGTGCATACCACCGCACTTGGCTGATTTTTATATTGTTTGTCAACACAGGGTTTCACCATGTTGCTCAGGCTGGTCTTGAACTCCTGAGCTCAGGCAATCCACCGGCCTCAGCCTCACAAAGTGCTGGGATTACAGCTGTGAGCCTCTGCACCCGGCCACTGCATGATTTCTTTAACCATTTCCCTTGTAGCTAAGTGGGTAAGAAGATACAAATATAAGAAAAGTTAAATTCTGAAAGTGTTAGGAGAAAATATATAGACAGTGGACTTATTTTTAAATGCATGATACTAAGGATAGAAACGTATGCCAGGCACAGTGGCTCATACCTGTAATCCCAGCACTTTGGGAGGCCGAGGAGGGCAGATCACCTGAGGTCAGGAGGTCAAGACCAACCTGGCCAACATGGTGAAAACCCGTCTCTACTAAAAATTCAAAAAAAATTAGCCAGGCTTGGTGGCAGGCACCTGTAATCCCAGCAACTCAGGAGGCTGAGGCAGGAGAATTGCTTGAACCTCAGAGGCAGAGGTTGCAATGAGCTGAGATCATGCCACTGGACTCCAGCCTTGGCAAAAGAGCAAGACTCTTTCACAAAAAAAAAAAAAAGAAAAGAAACGTAATAGCAAAGATGAGTAGTTTTAAAAATCCTTTGGGTATCAAGAGTACTCTAAATAAAATGTAAAGGCATTATCTTGTTTAATTCTCACAATAGCTTTGTGAAGTAGGTACTTAGATTTCTTTTAGAGAAGGGGAAACTGAGGCACAGAGAACTGACAGTGTGGAAATCGGTGCTTTCTATGAGATTGATGATTTTGTGTGTGTGTGTGTGTGTGTGTGTGTGTGTGTGTGTGACTGAGTCTCACTCTGTCACCTAGGCTGGAGTGCAGTGGCGCAATCTCAGCTTGCTGCAACCTCCACCTCCCAGGTTCAAGCTATTCTCCTGTCTCAGCCTCACCAGTAGCTGGGACTAAAAGTGCGCACCACCATGTCTGGCTAATTTTTGGTTTTTGTTTTTGTTTTTATTTTTGTTTGGAAACAGAGTCTCAGTCTGTCACCTACGCTGGAGTGCAGTGGCGCCATCTCAGCTCCCAATTAGCTGGGACGATAGACACGCACTACCACGCCCAGCTAATTTTTGTATTTTTTAGTAGAGATGGGGTTTCGCTATGTTGACCAGGCTGGTCTCGAACTCCTGGCCTCAAGTGATCCATCCGCCTAGGCCTCCCAATGTGCTGGAATTATAGGCGCCCAGCCTAATTTTTGTAATTTTAGTAGAGATGGGGTTTCACCATGTTGGCCAGACTGGTGTCACACTCCTGACCTCAAGTGATCTGCCTCCCTTGGCCTCTGAAAGTGCTGGGATTACAGGCGTAAGCCACTGTGCCCAGTGAGATTGAGGATCTTGCTGCAGAACGAAAGCTCATAAAATAAGAGGCAGAGTGAGAAGGTAGCTCCAGTTTGGTCTTTCCATCAGCCTTGGATGTGAATCCCAGCTTTACCACTTAGGAAAGGTGACAGAAGGGCCGCTTTTCAGACAGTTGAAAATACTCTATTTTCATTTCATATTTTAAATTGTTCATTTCCATTTGCTTTCTCATTATAACTATTTTGACCAAAAAAAAAAATAATAATGTGTTTAGATGTCTTGAACATCAGGTGTGTCTTAAAATGCAAAATTCCAGAGACAGCAAGAACAAATCAGATGCTAATTACAGCTCCTTTTCCTATCCCTTATGTAGCACACTATACTATCTCTTAAATAGTAGAGACTGTCAAGGTCACACTTGAATAGGGATGTTATAGGTATCGATCATTAACTACGTTTTAAAGAGATGGAAGGAAAAAAGTCAAAACTACGAGCTGTTACCAACTGGGTGAAATAAAGTAAGAGAGTTTCCAGCTATCATCATAGTTTATCAGTGGGAAAATTTGGAATAAAGAAATTTAGAATTGAAATGTTGTTTAGGTCATCTTTTGGTAGATTCAATCAAGTTGAAAATTCGACCATGTCTTGGATATGAGCAGACGGCTCATTGATGGCATTCAGTAAAATCTTTCTGTGTAGTTGGTTTAAAATTTGACTTAAAACAGGGACATAATATTTACCTTCTCTACAGTAACAAAATTTATGTTATGTAATAACCTTGACATGTTTACAAAATCATGTTTAATGGGCTCTCCAGAGCTCCGGTGAATACCACAATTTGGTCTGTTTTCAACATTTCTAAATAATCTGGGAAAGCTGTAGGAAATGAAATATCTGTCGTAAACTTTTTGTATCAGGCTTAACTACTGCTTTCTTGAAGTTTAGCAAAAGGATAAAGGCCTGTATGTTCTTCATTAGCTGTAGTCAAAACTGAATTTAAGGATTTTTGATAGCTGTTTAGAATTACTGTTTGAATCTCTACTACAAAGAATATTAAGATTTTTAGCATTTGAGAGTCCTAATATACCCACTTAAAAATCATTAGACTTACTTTGGGAGGCCAAGGCATGTGGATCATGTGGTCAGGAGTTCTAAACCAGCCTGGGCAACGTGGTGAAACCCCATCTCTACTAAAAATACAAAAATTAGCCAACCATGGTGGCGCACACCTGTCGTCCCAGCTACTCAGGAGGCTGAGGCAGGAGAATTGCTTGAACCTGGTGGGTAGAGGTTGCAGTGTGCCGACATCGTGCCACTGCACTCCAGCCTGGGTAACTGAGCGAGACTCCGCCTCAAAAAAAAAACCAAAAAAAAACAAACAGTAGACTTAGGGCCGGGTGCGGTGGCTCACACCTGTAGTCCCAGCAATTTGGGAGGTTGAGGCGGGCAGATCACTTGAGGCCAAAAGTTTAAGACCAACCTAGCCAACATGGTGAAACTTCATCTCTACTAAAAATACAAAAAAATTAGCCAGGCATGGTGGCGCATGCTGGTAATTCCAGCTACTCAGGAGGCTGAGGCATGAGAATCACTTGAACCCAGAAGGTGGAGGTTGCAGTGAGCCAAGATCGCACCACTGCACTCCAGCCTGGATGACAGAGTAAGAGTGTCTCAAAAAAAAAAAATAAATCAGTAGACTTTATCATTTAATTCCAAGTATATACGTATGTACTTGTAGACATGTATAATTTAGTACATTGTATTTTTTCCCAAACAGATAAACAATCAGATTCTGTATGGAAGAAGTCACCAAAATGCATCTGCCATTATTAAGACCGCCCCATCAAAGGTCAAGCTGGTTTTCATCAGGTAAGATTGCTAGATCTGGTTTTGCAAAATCAAAGACCTCTTCTGATTGATGTTATTAATGTAAGACTATGTCATCTTTGATTTGTCTAGCGAAATCACAGTTTCTTCTAAAAATAACTGTCACTTCAAGAAAAGTATTGCAGGGCGCGGTGGCTCACGCCTGTAATCCCAGCACTTTGGGAGGCCGAGGCGGGCGGATCACGAGGTCAGGATATCGAGACCATCCTGGCTAACATGGTGAAACCCTGTCTCTACTAAAAATACAAAAAATTAGCCGGGCGTGGTGGTGGCGGCCGCCTGTAGTCCCCACTACTTGGGAGGCTGAGGCAGGAGAATGGCATGAGCCTGGGAGGCGGAGCTTGCAGTGAGCCAAGACTGCGCCACTGCACTCCAGCCTGGGTGACAGAGTGAGACTCTGTCTCAAAAAAAAAAAAAAGGAAAAGTACTGATTGTTTTGATTATGAAGTTTTCTTACTTGCTTATGTTTCACAGCATAGAATCGGTAGCTAAGGCTAGTATTTATATTTCAGTTATAAAACATTCTTCCCTTTCTGGATCCATTTATCCTGTTTATAAATATAATGAGACCTGCTAACTTCTCTTCCTGTCACTATTATTTGGTACATTTGCTGAATCATTAATGTCTTCATTAAAGAATAAACAAGAAAATAGAACTGAGGACATTTTTAGGAGCTTCCTTGTAAGAGTGCTGGTGAGAAGCCCAGAGTAGGGAAGATGTCAGCACTGCTGCCTAGAGTTGTATTGTGTGTTTGGGGCTTCACATTTACTCACACCTCCCCTGCAAGCTGATTGAGCCCTCTTGGTACAAGTAAATCAGAATTAGGGATCTGACTGTTTGTAGCCAACATTGCCACATCAGCAGTAGAAATGAGGTTGTTTGATTCTCTTTATTGGAGTGAAATGACAAGTAAATCTGAATTATTTTTAGGTCATGTACCTAACCCTCTATGTTCACTGTAGCTCTGCTTCTTTTTCCTTCTGGGACTCAGGTATCATCTGTAAAATGGGATAATAAAGCACCTCCCTCATTCATTGTGATATTTCAGAAATTGAAAATGCTCAATACAATATCTAGCATAGAGTAAGGGGTGAAAGAATGTTAGCTGCTATTTTAGGATGATGACAATCATTATTATTCTTCCCTTTCTCATTAGTTACCAGCAGTAAGATCTGTCCATTCCCAGGGACCATTGGGATTAGGAGGTGGTTTTATTCCCAGCATGGGCACTAACGTGATTGAAATATTCCTTTCCACTTCTACTTTGCTCCTGAAGAAATCCTGCATTAGGACCAGGCATGGTGGCTCATGTCTGTAATCCCAGCAGTTTGGGAGGATCACCTGAGGTTAGGAGTTTGAGACCAGACTGGCCAACACAGCGAAACCTGTCTCTACTGAAAAATACAAAAAATTAGCCAGGTGTGATGGCACACAACTCTACTCCCAGCTACTTGGGAGGCTAAGGCAGGAGAATTGCTTGAACCCAGGAGGCAGAGGCTTCAATGAGCTGAGATCGCACCATGCACTCCAGCCTGGACGACAGAGAAAGACTCTATCTCAAAAAAAAAAAAAAAAAAAAGACCAGGCATGGTGGCTCACATCTGTAATCCCAGCAGCACTTTGGGAGGCTGAGGCGGGCAGATCACGATGTCAGGAGTTCGAGATCAGCCTGGCCAAGCCAACATGGTGAAACCCTGTCTCTACTAAAAATACAAAAATTAGCCAGGCGTGGTGGTGCACACCTGTAATCCCGGCTACTCAGGAGGCTGAGGCAGGAGAATTGCTTCTTGAACTCAGGAGGCAGAGGTTTCAGTGAGCCGAGATCACACCACTGTACTCCCACCTGGTTGACAGAGCGAGACTCTCTCAAAAAAAAAGGAAATCCTGTATTAGCATCCTTTTCTCCCACCTAGTGGCACTTTCTGGCTTTCTAGTTTTTTACTCTATTTTCAGAGAGTGAAAGCTTCCTCCTTCACATATGTCTTTGTATGTTAAGATGAGCCCTTTATTCTTACTCTCCTTTGACATCCTCTGTTAGACACCAGTCTCCTTTTTGGTTTTCTTGTCCTTTCTTCTGGCAAGGGTTATAAAATTAGAGTTAGTTGATTTAAAAAAAATTTGAGTAGACTTTGAAGAAAGGTCAGCACTCAAGAGATTCAGATGTTGTTCATTGAGAGAAGTCCACAAAAGTAGTGTGTTTAGACTAGAAAACTTTGCATAAAGTTGTGTGGGGGCCAGGCGCAGTGATTCACACCTGTAATCCCACCACTTTGGGAGGCCAAGGCAGTAGGATGGCTTGAGTTCAGGAGTTTAAGACTGGTCTGGGCAACATAGTGAGACCCAATCTGTGCAAAAGAAAAAAATTAGCCGGGCGTGGTGACATGTGCCCTGTAGTCCCAGCTACTTGGGAGGCTGAGGCAGGAGCATCGCATGAGCCAAGGAGGTTGAGGCTGCAGTGAGCCATGATCACGCCACTGCACTTCAGCTTGGGTGACAGCAAGACCTTGGCTCAAAAAAAAAAAAAAAAACCACACTGTGTGGCTAGTACATGAGAAGATATATGTAGCACTTAACAGGGTCTGCATCTGCACATGGTATTTAGTACATAGTGATGGCTGCTACCACAAGAGCTGTTATCAACATTACTTACCTCTTCAGCACATGTGGGGCTTTTATTACCCACATGGGCCGTGCAATTTTAAAGAGAACAAAAAGAAAATTGAATAGAGTTCAAAGGAAATAATTTAATGCAATTGTGTAGTTGGGAAATAAAACCCTCCTCCTTCAATAAAGAAAGGTTAAATGATTTGAAATTGTTTAGAAGACAGAAGAGAAACCTGAATAGAATTTTAATCATAGTAGTAAAGCTCCATCAATTTAGAGTCTGATTATTTCAGTTTTGATCATTGAACAGAACAGAATCAAGAAAAGAATTTGTTGAGTAAATCAATGGTATACACAAAATTAAGGATGCTACTGAATGCTTATTTACTGGAAGTGATTTTAAGCAATTTAAAAGTATCAGTGGACATTTAAAATCTGTACTCTAATTCTTAGTCCATTTGGACTGCTGTAACAAAATACCCGAGTGTCTTACAAAGAACAGAAATTTATTTATTTATTTATTTATTTTGAGACAGAGTCTTACTCTGTCACCCAGGCTGGAGTGCAGTGGTGCGATCTTGGCACACTGCAACCACTGCCTCCCAGGCTCAAACAATTCTCATGCCTCAGTCTCCCGAGTAGCTGGGACTACAGGTGTGTATCACCAGGCCCAGCTAATTATTTTTGTATTTTAGTAGAGATGAGGTTTCACTGTGTTGGCCAGGCTGGTCTCAAATTCCTGGCCTCGATGGTCTGCCCACCTCAGCCTCCCAAAGTGCTGGAATCACAGACGTGAACCACTGGGCCTGGCCCAGAAATTTATTTCTCATAGTTTTGGAGGCTACAAAGTTCGAGATCAAGGCTCTAGCAGATTTGGTGTCTGGGAGAAGGCCCGCTTCCTCTTTCATAGATCTATTCCGTGTATCCCACGTAACAGGAGGGGCTCCCTTGGGCCTACTTTGTAAGGCAGTAATCCCACCATGAGGGCCCCACTCTCATGACGTAAACACCTTCTAAAAGGCCCTGCCTATTAATACCTTCATGTTGGTGATTCGGTTTCAACATAGGAATTTTGAGGGGACACAAACATTCAGACTGTAGCATGAACCTTTCCTGCATGGTCTTTCAATTACAGTGTGTAGCATAAAATGAGTGTTCAGAAAGCTTTATTGAATGAATTTCCTTTTTGCTCCTACTAAGCAGTTCTAGATTACTTATTGTCCAAAGGCAACAATTATAGTAAGTTCATTGTTGTTATTTTGTGGATTAAAAAATATATATTTCTGTAACTCAGTATTTTACAAAATTCCTCATACCTCAGCCCCTCTTCCCAGTACTTTCCCAAATTTGCTAAGATTTTTTTTGTATCTTCTTTTATAGGGAGAAAAAACATATAGGAGTGATTCTGAATAATTATTTATTATAAGAATCCTGATTTTGCCTGTTTTAGAATCAAATCCTGAAGAAGTTAAAATTTGATTCATTATCAAGTTTCCAAAAGTTAACACTTAAATCATCTCAGCACCACACATGTGATTTTGCTTGTCTTTTGAACTCTGCATAGCTTGTACTGTGTTATAATGTAACTTTGAAAACTAGTTTTTATAAATTGTATTTCTTTACAATTTGCACTTCTATTTGGCAAAATTTCCTTCCTTAGTTGAAATTATCCTCTGTGCTTTTCCATTATACAGAAAATTTTGGCTTTTATACCTTGGCAACTGTTTTTCAAATTTATTGACAATTGAGATGAAAATGGGAACTGGCCACAGGTTTTAGAGAATGATTAGCAGTAATCACAGAAAGCTATTAAAATATGCTGCAAGCAACATTTTAATTAACTAAGGCCTTTAGTCTATAGCAATGTACATTTTGTGATCAGGTCCTTGTCATATTCTTTTAACACTTGTATTTATTCATATACTAATTCATCTATAATTGGCAAGGGGTCTGTGGGTCATTAGCACAAACTAGCAAGTTGCAGCTATTTATACATGACTTACATAATCACTTTTTCCCTTTTCCTTTTCACATCATTAGATTTTGGACAATCCTGGAAATTGTACTCTAAACATATGGTCTCTGATACACTAAATTATTCAACTCCGTATCATCCAGATGCGTATTACAATCTGGGTGCTTGCTATGCACTCTACATTCAGTTCTGTGGGTTTTCGTGTTTGGCATTCTCCCCTTCATGTGAGCACACCAATTTAAGTACAGGAGGAGAACCGTATTAACACAATGAATAAATTGCTGTATTTGGCAGTGCAGGGATCCAAGGAGATTAATGATCTTGCCTGCAGCTCTTGTCATACCTTCCCCCACTATCAAAACTTGAATGTCATGTATAACAACTCACTCTCCATTACTTAAT